TCAAATTTAAATCATTAAGTAAAAATTTGCCTTGCATTTTTTTTTTTAATTTTTTTTTAAATCCTTCTAGCAAATAGAATCTTCTTTAAATAATTTTGAATTAATTATAATGAACTTTTTGAAAAATATTGAGAGCATACGATTATAACAATAATAATAAATGAAAACAAAATATTATGAAAACTCGTTGTAATAATAAGGGTAAGAAAAAATTTAAATTCAAAATAAATGAGAGAAGCGGAAAAATTAAAAATATGAGTACAATTCAATCGACATACAAAAAAAATATTATAATACAAGGGAGAAAATAATATTGTGTGTTGTGTTAAGAGAATAAAAAAGGAATAATAAAATTATACGAGTATAAAATATTAAAGTTTAAAAAATCTCTTATACAAGTATTATGAAATTATAATTTAAATTGGGGTAATGACGTCATATATAAGAGGATTATATTTTAAATGACGTCATATAACCGAAATAAACGAATAAAACGCGAGAAAATTTCACTTGAAAGGAGAAATAGAAAATTTAATGAGAGAAAAACTTCATCAGAAAAACAAAATACAAAAAAATAAATTTTTTTTTTTTGTCATAACCATTGACAAGGATTTAAATCAAAAAGAGGGGAAAAATTTTATACACATGCATACATACATACATAAGAGCGCTTTCTTTATGTTTTGATTTTTTTTTCTCGTTTTTTTTTTCTTTTTTTATTTAGTTTGACAGATAAGAGGGATGTTTTGTTATTATGAGGTGGGGACAGATTATAATAATATATACAGTGTGTATGTTTGCATATATTGACTGGGTTCATAGATATGGTTATAAAACTTTAACTTATACTCGTATTATGGATTTATATTAATTTTTTTACTAATAAACAATTATATAAACAAAATATATTTATATTTATACATTTATGTATACGAGTATGTAAATACATGCTTTATAAGTATATAAGTTTTAACATAATAGTATATAAGTATATGTTTGTTCTATATGTGCGTTTTACTTTTTCGTGTTTTGCTCGCAAAAAAAAAAATTACTATTTTAGTAATTTTACAAATTACTTAAAAAGTTTTTATAAAATTAAAATTTGAGGGATGCTCATAAGAAACGGTAAATTCAAATTGTAAGTTTTTTTTTCAAATGCTTATAAATAATCTTCCAAAATATCGGAATACTAAATCATATAAATATAAAAGTCTTTGATTAATATTTCTTTCAACATCAATTTTAAGGTGAAAATTGAAATTTAATTGATTAAAAAAATGATTGAAAATTTTTTTAATTCTCTAGAAATTATTTCAATAAATAAAAAATTTAAAGGAACGCCTAAAAAAGTGCCTCAGAACATCTCAATAAATTTTTCATTTTCAGTTTATTAAAAATTATTCGAATCTCACAACCGAATTGATGTTTTAAATAATTTATTGTATAAAACCTTAAATTCTACTATGTCTGTGGAGAGTATAGCCAGCCTGGTAGCGATTCATATAGGAAATTAACCGTTTTGGGAGCATTTGTGTGAATACTCTTCAATACATCGAGTAGGCAGAGGTCAGGCGATGGGCAAAGAAAGATTTCAATTTTTCACTACCTCTGCGAGTGTCTGGCTCCAAGCGGCACCAGATTGATCACGTGGGGCGATCAAGAAACAGAATAAGATATCGAAAATTGATATAAAGAACTTAAACTGATTCCTCCAAAGAACCAAATGACTTCGATATGCAACCTGTAGTCAAACGTTGGATAATGATCAGGATGGTGGTAGAAAAACATTTATGCTTCTGACACCAACATCTACCAAGGAACTAACAAAGATTTTAACTATTATTATATTGCTGAAAAAAAAGTTCTAAAAATTGGAACTAACTTAAAATTGTTATCATTTACAACTATTAGCTTGTTTAAAGTTATTCTTTCATTAATGTTATTAAGCCATTTTGAACTATACATTTAAATTTTAGAATATTGTATTTGATTTTATTAATTTTACTCTATTATAGACGTTTTACAATTATATAGCACACTTTCAATACTTTGTTTAGCATTCAACTATCAAACATGGAAAGTACCTTTTGTATGTAGTCCAATATTATAATGGTAACACCAACTTCAAAGTATCAAAGTATACGTTAATATTGCAAAAACATATATAACGTAAGTGTTAAACCACATAAAATCTGTGCAGTATCCCAAATTTACAATTTGCTATAAGCATATAGAAAGGAAAGAGATGAAGAAGTGTGCAGAAACCATTGTTAAAGTACTTAATTTTTAGACAACAATTATTATTTTATCCAAAAATCAAGTTCGAATTTCATGATAATATATTTTTATCTTTGTTACGATAGTATATAGATATGTGGATGCATATTATTATAATGTATGTCAATATTATTTTCTTAATATCTACTATAGTTATGTATGGAGAAAAAAAAATACAAAATAAATATACAAAAACAATTTCTCCATGCAGCTGTTTTTCAAAATTTCAATGTATTTTGTACTCGTGCATTTAATATAACAAAGGAATTTAAGTAAATTTATATAAAACATAACAAAATAAAAAAAATAGCAAAAAAAAACAGAGAAGAAGAAACCAAAATAAAAAAAAAGGACGATTGAAATAATATGTAAAAATTCTTAAGTATCTAAGCATATTCATATATCTACATATACATATATATGTACATGTATCTAAACTGAACATATATATTTGTAATTACGAATATATATAACATCTATTAATATAACCATATGCGATATATGATAAGTTTTTGCGCAAGGACATAATAATTTATGTAAACATGCAGTGTTTGTTATCTGTATTATCATATGCATACAAATATTATATCTAGCACATAATATAAACATATATATATATATATATATATATATATATAGTTTCTAGATCTAAAAAACATTTTCACAGAAATATTTACAAAAAAAATTTTAATAAGGGATTTTCTTCTACATCTTCTCTATTCAAGCTCCTTTATTTATAAATTCTACTTTGTTTTTTCTTTCGAAACAAAATATGTGTGTATATAAAGTAAAAGTATATTGTATTCAATACATTTATTCGTACATTCACGAATGTTATGTACGAATGTTATGTATATTATGAAAAATAATTTATACATATATTTATACCGTTATTTTGTTATACTGAACTTTAAAAAGCAAAAAACACAGCAACAAAAGGGAATCAAAACTGTAAACGATGTAATAACAAAAAATAATAATAAGAAAATCCAAGCACAACTTTTTATTTATTTATAGTGGGAGAGAGAGAGAGAATTTCCCATTTATAAAGCACAAATTTCCTATAAGATAATTCAATTCAAAATTGATGGAGAAATAAATTGAGAATTTTTAATAAAAATCTAAAAAAAAACCAGTCATATTTTTGAAATCACATAGTATGTACGTATATACATATTTGCAAGGCGCTAATATTATTAAAAATGAGGTTTTAAGAAAAACACTTCACACTAACTCTATAAAATATTGTAAATTTAAAGGAATTTTCTACATACATATAAATATATATTAAGAAATATTACAGTTTATAACTATATTAGTTATCCGAGTTATTTAGATTTTTTTTTTTATTAAAATTGTTCCTAAATATCGGAAACCGAAATCTTATTTTTATTTTCTTCGGCATTTTAAATTTTATTTGTGAAAAGAAAACAAAGAAATTTTTTTTTATTATTTGGTTTTTTTTTTTTTTTTGTTGGGGAAATTTAAAATTTTCTGTAAAAAATATTCTAGGAGGGGAAATTATGAAGAGAAAAATTTTGTAAAAAAAAATCTTTTTGTGCTTTTAAAGTATGTAGGTATAAAAATAAGAGAATAAAAATTATGCTAATTAATGTCATTCTGATCATCTGTTTGTCTATATATTTTCGTAAATTGTTCAAATAAATTTTTTTTACAAAATTTAATTGTAAATTAAAAATATTTCTTATTTTAATAATTTCTTTTTCTAATTCCAATATTATTCAATATTTGAATATTATTCAAAAAAATTTTTTACCTGTTTTTAAGCAATTCAATGTTGTCAAAGTTGAATAGTCCCTAATTGAGTTTACTAGTAATTTAAGTTTCTTATTAATTTTAAGAATAAAAAATAATTATACAAATATTTGCCTTGGGTCATGTTTTTTTACGGAGTACGGGTATGGCGAATATAACTGCGAAAACGGGCAGTATCACAACGAGCCCATCTGGCATATGTGTACCTTATGGTAGCCCCGTTAACTTAACCTTACATTGAGTTCAGGAAATAAAATTCAGGAAATCTTTCATATTTTTTATCAGGGCGAATTTCAAGTAAATTGCCGATATTTTTTGCATTAGTAACTACATAAATGTAATAAAAAGTAATTAAATTTTCATAATCAAATAAATTTCTCTTTTATTTCCGAAGAGAGTATATTGCAAAAATGAGTAATTATTTTTTTTTTCTCGCAAATTATTTTGCACAGACGAATCAAATTGGAAATATTTATAGGAAATTTGCTTTTCTTTAAGAAATTTTGTTTATTATTTCTCTACCAATTTTTCAATTTTACTTTTCTTACTTTCTCTACTTTATATTATTTTTTCTTATAATTATAAACACAATTTTATATATTATAATAACATATATAGGATGCGGCTAGATTTTTTAAATTCATAATATAAATATCCATATATACATATATATTTGGATCTGTATAAGTGACTACATATTTAAAATTTGAAATTTTATATGATATATTCATATATAAATATATATGTTTAAATATACATAAATAAAATGTATGTAGAAATATGTATTTTAATATTTATACATATATAACAATAAAAATTTTATATAAAACCAATATTAACACAAAAAAAGGATATTTTTAACGTCTCACATTTTTCTTCTTGTATTTTTTTTTTTGTTTTTTATGTATTATATTCTATGTATTAAAAAAAATTTCTTTTCGATAGTCCGGTCTTACGTGTGTGTATCCCGGTCTAGCATTTAATCGGGAAACATTGAATAGAGCTGAATGGTTTTTTTCCTTTAAAATTTTCGGACAATTCAATAAATATGCTTTAATTAGTTGAAAAAAAATATTGATATATATATATATATAAAAATAACTTGTTTCTGTGGTACTAAAATTTAACTTAAAAAAATAAAATAATATAATAATAAAAAGTGTACAAGAATTTTATTAAAAATAAATGAAATGTGAAAGAATATAAAAGATAAAAGATTAAAATTTTAAAATTGTGCTATACAAAAAAAAAAAAAGAAAAAAAAGAAACAGAAAACGTTGTTAAATATAAAAATTAAGAAAAAAAAAAACGAAAATCAATAAGTGGATATAAGAAATTAATTAAAAAAATAAAATTATAATGAAAATTTATGAAAATAGTTAAATAAAAAAAAAATTATTAATAAAGTGTCAAATTGATTAAAATTTAATCATTTTTTATTATAATTAAAAATTAATAAAAATTAATATTTGATTGCAATTATATTATTAATTATTAATTAAATTAAATATATACTAAATGTGTATAAGCATGTATATATATAGTTATGTATACAATTAAAAAAATGAATAATATAAATTAAATAAATAAAACAAAACAGAATTTTGAAGGAATCTTAATACAACACATTCAAAGTAAATAAAAAATTTAAAATAAAATTGCATACAACTAGGCGAACAAAAAAAATAATTCTTCTTTAACTTTCATACACACCACAATATTATATTACTTACACTCTAAAACAGCTGTAAAAATAATTTATATTGAGAAAATAAAAATAATGAATGATTAATAATAACAATAATAATAATAATAATAATAATAATAATAATAATAATTATAATAATAATAGTAATAAAACGAAACACTTGTATTTATAAAATAAAATATATAATTCTACATTCAATATTAACATCAAAATATAAATAAAGTTTTAAATATTAAGAATTTATAAGAAATAACTATAAATAAATTAAATAATAAAAAAAAATAATAAATTAAATTTAAATTTAAAATAATAAAATAAACGAAATTTAAAGAAATTAATTTGTAAACAAAGTGTATGTATATTGTTACCAAATATTTTAAATTTAAATCAAAACAAAAAGAAAACCATTTTTTAATATTATGCCTATACTTATTTTAAAAGTGTAAAAAAGAAAAATAATACAGAAGAAATAAAAAGAAAAGAAAAATTATATATATTGCTATATATAACGAAATATTCGAAAAAATTTGATATATATATAAAAAAAAAGAAATTTATTTCTATAATTTTAATAAAATCATAAAATCTTAAACGAGAAAACTTGGAGAATTGGAGATTTGGGAAAAAATAAATAAAATTTTTGATTTTCCTATTATTATGAAAAAATTTAATTATAAATATAGGTGATTTCTATTTCATATATACAGACACGTATGTACATTTTTTATAACATAATATTTATACATTATTTATAACAAATTTTTTAATTAATTTCAATAATAATATGATTTAAAATTTTAAATTTTTACAAAATAATTATATTTAATTAAAATAATTTATTATAATCAATTAAATATATTAATTTTATTCTATATTATTTATTATATTTATTATATGTATTTTTATAATTATTATTATTGTTTTGTTATGACAAAATAATTTTTACAGGTGTGACAATTTTTTTTCAATTTGTTATACATAAACATATATATATATATATAATATTTAATATTTTTGAAGTTTAATTTGTCATATTATAAATTATATTATAAGATATTCTAGCAATACTATTAAATACAATATACATATAAATATGTTATACACATATATTCTAATATATTTCACTAAACTTAGTATATTCTATTTTTATAGATATACATATAATAATGTTATATTTGAATTCATAATAATATAATCAAATATAACAAAAATTTATCTATTAGAAAACATATAACAAAATAATATGTAAATATAACAATACAATATGATTATATTAATTGATATATTATAATAAATATATATAATATATAATATATTATTCTGACAAATACTGATACGTTAGTTTTTTTATGTACCAAAAAAACAAAAACAAAAAAAAACAAAATATATGAGATTAAATATTATTTTCTTATACTATAATATATATATATATATATATGTATAGCACAAATATAACATATATGTTAACTTATATATGTATGTATATATATATATATATGTATTTATCTACATACATTATACAATATAATTTTGAAGTCTTATATTATATAAGAATAAAATATTTTTATTATAAGATGATTCCATATATAATAATACATGATATATATAGTATATATAATATTTATATACATATATAATATGTATAAAAAAGTATTATATTAAAATATATTTATATAATAATATTATGCATTAACGTATTATTTATATTTGTATATTTTATTATATTATTTCTTGTATATATATATATATATATATATATATATATATATATTATATATATATATATATAGTATATTTTAAGTATATAAAATTCTAATACATAAAGAATATTCGTTTTTTTTTTTTTCTTCACAGAAATCTCTTATAAGTATTAATATTTTGGATAAAGTAAATTGAAAAAGTTTTTAAATTAAAATAGTATTTATTATTATATTATTATTACTACATTATGTATTTTTACATACATATATAATTTTATTAGGAAAAATATATAAAAATATACGATATATACAGATACAAGTGCCTATATACAAATTTGAATAATATGGTATATAAAGCGTTTGAATTTTAAAATATTATAGACGAGAAAAAATTTTATCATATTAGAGAAAAAATTAATGAATTTAATATATATATATAAATCGTTTATGTATTTTCTAATAAATCTTTAAGAATAAACCGAAAATTTAAATAAAGTACATTGTAATATATGAAAATATAAAATTGAAAAATAATTTAAATGGTGGGAAAGATTTGTTTTTTTTTTTGAAACAAAATATTTTGGTATAACAGCAAAACAGATTGATGACGTAGAAATTACTCGTAAAGCAGAAAATTGATTAAAAATTTTCCTTTAAATTTAATTATTATATATAGTTAAAATTTAAGTAAAATTATTTTGTTAAAGGTAACAAATTTAATTTTATTAGATATATACGTGACACTAAATAAAAAATATTCTTTTGATTATAAATAAATGTTCATTGTTTTCCTTTGAAGATGAAGTTGTTATTTAAAAATATTGCTGAAATATGTTCATTAATTTCATTATATAATCGGGCAATATAAATTTTCTCTGTTACTTTGCCTAACACAAACCTGCCTAAATAAAAACGGAGCTAGTAAAAATCAACATGACTGCATTCATTTATTTTGTGGCTTCGGTGATATGCACAAATCCATAATTCAGTTTTCCGACATCATTAAAATCTGTTAATTTTAAAATCTATTAATTTATAATTTTATTATTAACATTTGTATTATCTTATATCACAGGTCAGTTGAACGAATAAAATGAGAAAGGTGATTTTGAAATATTGAATATACTTATTTAATCACACACTTATTTTTTTTATAAAAGAACACACTCATAGTTTTTCTTGAGCAACAAATTATTTTTCGATAAACTTAATCTCTTATTTGACTCAAATTTTAAGATTAATAATATTTTTATTGCAAATTAAAATTATTGCAAAATTAAATACGAATTTCAAAAATTTAAAACTTTTAAACCATAATAATTTTCAGATCAAATATACTTGAAACTACTAAAATTGAATTATTTAGGTCTAATGTAATATACCGAATGTTTACTTCATAAGAGTTTTCAAAATTCAGAAACCCATATTAATTTGTATTTTTTGTTTGATATTTTTTTTGAGAACTTATAATTTGTTATTTATTTATTGTTTAGCTAAAACAAATTTACAAAATAACTATTTATTACTACTTATACTAAAATATTAAAATTTTGAAATTCAAATTACAAAATACTTAAACTAAATAAACTTGACTACCTGACAAAGATTACAAAAAAAGTAAGACAAACTTATGGTAAGATAGAAAAAACCTTTTTTCAGTTGTACTTTTCGCTACATATCAATAATATTCTTATTATCGTATTTTACATATATCGTCCGATGAATGCCCGCATTAAATGCTTATATTTTCTGACCTAAAGTGGGGACTGGTATTTAAGCTAGAATCAACGATTATTTTAATTCTTGTGGCATCAATTATACATTTTTTACTTGAATAACGAACAAAATACCTGCAACAAGTTTTCTAGATCCCAGAGTATTCAAGCTCAATAGTTTAATTCGGTTCCTGTAAAATGGCAAATTTAAACGATCATGCCAGTTTAGATCATGTAATGTAAATCTAATAAAGTTTTTCTGAGCTGGCTCAATACTCTTTAGATGCACAAAATAAAAGGATGCCCAAAATTTGGCTTGCATATTCCAGTTTTAAACAGATCAATGACACATACAAAAATTTCAAAATATATGAAACATTGAATTTCTTATCCCGCCTTTTGACAAAAGTGAGCATTGAGTTGGCTTTAATAATTACTGAATTCAAATGAGCACCAAAATTCAATTTTACATCAAAGATTACGGCTAGATCTTTAACAAAGTCAAATATTCCTATAATAAGCTCAGAGTTAATAAAATAATTTTTGAATCTAAATAAATATTAATATTCAATAATAATTAATCCGTGATAGTTTATACTCATACCCCTCTTAATTTACATTAAACAAAATATTTTATTCTGTTGTACTGGCTATGATTTTCTTTGTGCCGTACCTCATATTTCAATTGAATTTTTTTTATCGTCATTTTCCAATTATTTTCATTCTTTAAATTATTCAATTTGTCCCTATTCATGTTAAATTTATAGTGACAATTCGCAATGAAAAAAAAAATTCAATTTGATTTTACCAGAAGCTACTACCATTTTTTCTTTATTTTATAAAAATATTTAATTTTCATAAAATATTTTGTAATTCATTTGATTATTCTACATTAAAATTTAATGATTTTGTAACTATAAAATAAGTTTTAAATTAATTTCAAAGGTTTTTTTCTTTTTTGTTTTGGTTTTTGGAGCAATAATTAATTATTCCGATTTGAAATTTAATATTACAAAAAAAAACAACAACTAAATGATAAATAAATGAGTTCAGTTATAAATATTTAATCGGATTGTTGGGGGGGAAAAATTGTTTAATTTATTAACCCATACATTATGAAAGAACCACATCAATTTGAAAGCAATTCATAAAAAAATTAAAATAAAAAATATGAGATAATTGAACTAGATTAAATTTTCTAATTATAATCTAAAAGAAAAAATTTGCAATAAAATTCGAAATTTAAAAAAAAAAAATTTTATAAATTTCGAAATACAAAATTGTTATTGTTGTAGAATTGAATTAAAATAATTTTTATTTTAATTGATAGAGTCAACAAATAACTGGCAACATTCTGTATTTTTTGTAACATAGTAAACTATTCTTACAAGTTAAATGAAACAGTGTAGTAGCGAAAAAGTCCTGTCTTTCCTACATTTATTTCAAATTTTAAAAGAAGCTATAATGTCCCTTTAATTAATATATATAAATGTAATATATAACTGTAGATTTGGTTTAGTCACAATAGTGACTCGTTTTTTAGGATCCGATTTCTTTAAAAAGAGCTAGTTTAAAATACTGCTATAATATACTTCATTTACTTAGATGAAAATTTTTAATTTAAATCTCTGGAAAAGACTCTAATATATCCAAAAAAAATTTTAATTATTTTAATTATTTATGACGTGATCAGAGGTGTTTCAAAAAATTTTAACAAAATTTATAAATTAATTTTTTATAAATAATGAAAAGTTCGAAAATAACACGTTGTAATTATATATAGTTCGAAAATAGCATGTTCAGACCACTGGTGGGTGAATCCAAAAGCAAAATATCCAAAATAATCGGTTCATATCCAAAATAAATTCAAATAAGTATACATAATATATAAAAAATTTTTTTTAAATTATTCACCTCTTACCTATTTAAATGAGTACACACGGACTAACTTAATGGTAGCTCCTTATGGTATATGTACTTGCTAAAATATGAAAAAGGTGCCTTTATGTTGAAAATTCGGTGTTAGAAATTTTATATGAAAACAATACCTTTCTTATTTTATTCAATATAAATTTATATTTAACAAAAAGTTTTTTTTTATAAAAAGAGAAAATTAAATTAAATTTCAGGATTCAAAATAAAATTCGAAACCCACAATGTCTACTTTATTGCTTTGTTCGTTTACGTTGTACATATAAAGCTAAAAAAAAGTTTAAAAGCCAAAATTTAAAACAAAAAGTTCAATATAACTTTTTAAAAATCAAGTGTTAGAAAATTAGTTCTTTAGTTACGTGCT